AAAAAAAAAAATAACACGATCCCCTGAAAATAAGCCCTAGGGTGTCTTCTTGAGGAAAGCTAAATAGAAGACCCTGTCTTATTTTCGGGGGAACACGGTAGCCAAGAAGAGGATCCTCAAAGTGAGGCAGCAGAAGGGATCTTAGAAGCTGCTCTTCTCTGACCTACAACTGCGGTAATCCTTATGGAATGTAAGGGCCATGTCAGGAAGGGGGCAGGGCTCCGCTTGCTTCTTAGGTGAGACAACAGAGAGAGCTGGGCCTGCAGGCATGCCAGGAGTGCGTGCCTGAGGGCCTGCAGGTGTGCTGGGGCCCAGCCCCAGGTACTCCCGCCACCAGTTGCTGTATCAGCTTGGGGGTGCTTGTACCCCACCCAAGAGACGCCATGCTAGGCCACAGTCAAAGGTCTCTCTCTTTTTTTTTTTTCTTGAGACAGTGTCTCACTTTGTTGCCCAGGCTAGAGTGAGTGCCGTGGCGTCAGCCTAGCTCACAGCAACCTCAAACTCCTGGGCTCAAGCGATCCTCCTGCCTCAGCCTCCCGAGTAGCTGGGACTACAGGCATGAGCCACCATGCCCGGCTAATTATTTTATATATATATATATCAGTTGGCCAATTAATTTCTTTCTATTTATAGTAGAGACGGGGTCTCGCTCTTGCTCAGGCTGGTTTTGAACTCCTGACCTTGAGCAATCCGCCCGCCTCGGCCTCCCAAGAGCTAGGATTACAGGCGTGAGCCACCGCGCCCGGCGAAGGTCTCTTAAATGTGGTCATTCCAGATAAGTAATGAGATTCTCGTATATCCTTGTATGTGCACATGCGTGCACACACACACACACACACACACACATATAGCTGTTCCTCCCGGCTACACTGTTAAACCAGGTCATACATTCAATACAGATTTATGCACAGGCACTTAGACCCTTGCAGGCCTCCTAGGCGTCTCTGAGAATGCCCTCCGTCCATTTGACATCGGGGCTCCCTAGGAAAAATCTATATTCCCCTCTCCTGGTATAAATCAAAATGCATCAGTGCGTCGTTTTCTGCCCAGCCCAGGAGGCGCGTGGGTGACAGGGGCTCATGGTACCCAACCTGCCGCAGGGCGAACCCCAGTACCGACTGCTCCTGACTGCAGCCAGGGTCCTGGGGCCGGGAGGAAACCCCTCCATTGCAAGAGGGCCCGGGGCTGCCATCATTCCTCTCCCTGCCTCCAAGGAGACAGAGCTTAGCAATGCTGAGGTCATCTGGGAACGACTTCTAGGAGGATGTGAGTCGTGGCCACGTATCTGAGGCCAAGACTTGGCATCAACGATGGAAGAAAAAAGTGCATGAGAGGGCCGGGCGCGGTGGCTCACGCCTGTCATCCCAGCACCCTGGGAGGCCGAGGCAGGCGGATCGCTCAAGGTCAGGAGTTCGAAACCAGCCTGAACAAGAGCCAGACCCCCATCTCTACTATAAACAGAAATAAATTAATTGCCCAACTAAAAATATATACAAAAAAAATTAGCCGGGCATGGTGGCGCATGCCTGTAGTCCCAGCTACTCGGGAGGCTGAGACAGGAGGATCGCTTGAGCCCAGGAGTGTGAGGTTGCTGTGAGCTAGGCTCACACCACTGCACTCTAGCCCGGGCAACAGAGTGAGACTCTGTCTCAAAAAATAATAATAATAATAAATAAATAATGACAATGCACTTCAAAAAAATTCACCTGTGAAGTGAGACTTGAGATTTTTCCCATCCTTGGTGCTCGCATTTAGCCTCTGCTGGCGTTTGCTGTAGGAACAGCTGCTGGCCTGCTCAGCTCCGTGTTGGGTGGCTTCCCCGCCGGTGCCTGCCTGCCTGCCTGCCCTGTGACTTCAGTCACACCCCCGGAGGGTCCGACATTAGAGATTCTCATCAGAAGCGAGGGCCTTTGGGGGGGGGCCTCTACCCTGTGTTCCTCCTCCTGACTCTTTGCCGAGGCCAGTCTGATCAGTCTCTCACGAAAACACGGCATTTCTCTCTCTTTTTGGCTCCGATACCGGGTGATATAATCTGGCTCTTCTCCCTTCTTATAGAAATATTTATGATATGTCTGCTAAATAATGTATTTGAGGAAGACGGTAGGAGCGCACGCTACGTCTGCGTGGCACCGGGCTGCGAGATCTTAAACGACGGAAACATAATTAGACTGAAAACCCTACTCAGCGGCCCCAGTTTCAGGTTCCGCGCTGGAGGTACGTGTTTCTCGGGTGGGTCCGGCCAGGTGAAGTCCGTCCACGCCTAAGAGTGAAAGGTGTTAGGCAAGGTGGGCGTTTGGATTCTGTGAGCTTTCCTTTCATGCGCGCGCACACACACACACACACACACACACACCTATTCAATGTTTAATTTCTGAACGCGTAAAAAACTGTTAGTAGGAGCCGGGCGCGGTGGCTCACGCCTGTAATCCTAGCTCTCTGGGAGGCCGAGGCGGGCGGATTGCTCAAGGTCAGGAGTTCAAAACCAGCCTGAGCAAGAGCGAGACCCCGTCTCTACTATAAATAGAAAGAAATTAATTGGCCAACTGATATATATAGAAAAAATTAGCCGGGCATGGTGGCACATGCCTGTAGTTCCAGCTACTGGGGAGGCTGAGGCAGAAGGATCGCTCCAGCCCAGGAGTTTGAGGTTGCTGTGAGCTAGGCTGACGCCACGGCACTCACTCTAGCCTGGACAACAAAGCGAGACTCTGTCAAAAAAAAAACAAAAAAAAACAAAAAAAACTGTTAGTAGGTTTGAGAGGCACCAGGCACGTGTGGGTAAAATACCCCCCTCTGGGCTGGCGAGCTCTGGGGTATGGAACCAGGAAGCAAGCGGTCGGGGAGCGTTACCTTTGCAGGTTGAGAGTGGCTAGGAGGTGGTCAGGGCAAACCTTCCCCTATGTGATCCCTCTGCCCGCCTCCTCCGGGGAGGCCACCTGTCTCTCGGCCCCTCCGCCCTCTGCCTCTGGCCCAAAGGCCCGGCTGGCCGGTGGTGACTCATTCAGACTCACTGCCATGGATCGAATGGCAGCAAACTGTTTCCGGTCGCCAGTCTCCTGTTTTCCACCCATCTTTCCGTCACGCGTCTGGGCAGACATTTGTTCTGCGGTTCACTTTCCGAACAAAGGCATGAATCCCTTGCCTAGAAGCCACCCCAGAGGCAGCTGTTTGCCGGTGAGAAGCCAACATCTGGGGACTGAGCCCGCGGGACGGGGACTCCGGAATCCCAGTTTGCCTTTGGTCTGCCCTAGTTCTAGAAGGAGAAGCCCCAGGGCGTCCGTCCTGCTGGACTGGGAGCCAGGTCTGCGCTACCATTTCTGTGGCAGGTCACTCTGGACAAGCAAAAGGGCCTCCTGCTAAGAAATCTGTCCTCCACTGGCTTGCCAAGGTGCCCGGAATGCCAACCCTGTGGCTCTGCTTTGGCTGAAGATGCTGCCATCGGAGGCTCCAGGGAAAGTTCCCTGTGTCGCTTGGGGGCGGCTGTGCGTGAGCCAGCTTGCTCTCATTAAACCCCCTTAGGGAGCCCTTCTAGAGCAGGTTCCTCAAACAGGGTTAGAGGGAACCTTAAATGGATGGGCTCTCAGGATTTGGGGACTTACCTGATTTTGCAACAACTTGCAAAAAAGAACATAATTTCCAATAGGCCCTGTGCTGGGCATTTCTATATGCCTCATATTATTTAATCCTCAAGACCCTACCAGGAAGACAGAAAAGAGGACACAATCAAAGAAGGTCATCGTGAGGCAGACACTTTGGGCTGGGGAAGGCTTCAGGCTTGATGGATCAACCCCGCTGGGCTTTGCAAGACCGGCAGGGTTAACCTAAGCGGGGAGGAAGAGGCCAGTGCTAAGGGGGAGGGAACAACGTATAGGAGGGTGGGGGAGACTGAAATCCCTGGGTGTGATTCTAATGCATGGGTCTGAAGTTGAGAAGAGTCGGAGATGTGAAACCCAAGTGAGTCCCAAGCCTTTCTCGGGGCTCTGGGGTCTAAACCAGATACCTCCTCCCCCGGGGGAAGGGCAGTGACCTCAACAGATGGGCACCAGGCGTCTCATAAAGCCCAGTGCCTAAGAGGGACCCTGCATACCGTAGGTGCTCAAAGATGCATGTAAATAGAGGTGGGAATAAGTTTGAAGATGATATCCATGATCAAAATTCAAACATTTTGCTTTATTAAAAAAAAATCAGTTAGGCTGGGTGCGGTGGCTCACACCTGTCATCCTAGCACTCTGGGATGCCGAGGCTGGAGGATCGCTGGAGCTCAGGAGTTCGAGACCAGCCTGAGCAAGAGCAAGACCCCGTCTCTACTAAAAATAGAAAAAAAACAATTGGCCATTCAACTAAAAATAGAAACAAAAAATTACCCGGGCGTGGTGGCGCATGCCTGTAGTCCCAGCTACTTGGGAGGCTGAGGTAGGAGGATCGCTTGAGCCCAAGACTTTGAGGTTGCTGTGAGCTAGGCTGATGCCATGGCACTCTAGCCCAGGCAACAGAGTGAGACTCTGTCTCAAAACAAACAAACAAACAAACAAGCAAACAAACAAAACCAGTTAAAGGCGTGAAAAGACAAGGCCTAAATTGAGAGAAACTCTTTGTAAATCACCAATTCATTGAAGGACGTGCATCTTTAATATGTAAAGAACAAACTTCAACAGTAAGAAAACAAACAGCCTAATTTTAAAAACGGGCAAAAGACGAGGAGGGACACTCTTCAAAAGCTTGTAAGGACGGCAGAGGAGCCCGAGGAGAGTGTGCGGCACAGCCGGCCGTTAGGGAAAGGCAGCTCCGAGCAGGGACACCTCTGTGCGCCTTCTGGGAACCCGCAGGCCTCCCGGCCGGGGCAGGCCCCGCGGCAGCTGCGGCTGCGTCAGGAACCAGGCGGGACACTGGTCTTCCCAGCCTCACACGCCTCACCCCGACCTCTGCCCACGGCGGTCACATCCGTGCAGAAATCCGCCCCATGGCGCCGGGCGGGTGGGCGGGCGTCCTGTGTCATGGAAACTCATGCACCCGGTGCCTCAGTCCCGGAGCAGGGCCGCCGGTCCCGGGCTGGGCGGTGCAGGGGTGGGCCGCGGCGGTGAGCACGGGTCTCAGCAGGAGTGGCAGAGACGGAGCCCGGAGGGGAGGAGCTTCAGGAAGGAACAGAGGCCGGGTGAGCTGGAGGTTACTCGGAAAACAGCTCTGCAGATGATGACGTAGTCACGGGTGGCACGCACATGCACCCCCCACACACGTGCACATGCACGCACACACGTGCACACATGTGCACATGCACGCACACACATGCACACATGTGCACATGCACGCACACACATGCACACGTGTGCATGTGCACATACAGACACACGTGCACACAGTGAACACACATATACAGGTGGACACACATGCACACATGTGCACATGCACCCACACACACACATGCACATGCATGCACACACGTGCACACACATGCACACATGTGCACGTGCACATACAGACACACGTGCACACAGTGAACACACATATATACAGGTGGACACACATGCACACCCACACGCACATGCACACGTGCACACATGTGCACATGCACACGTGCACACGCACACGTGCACACATGTGCACATGCACACGTGCACACATGTGCGCATACACACATGCACACGCACACGCACACGCACGCGCACACCCAGGACCAGGAGCCCTCCTCCCCGGGACCCCTGCCTCCTGCCCGCGCTGTCTTGCCACCCAGACACCTCCCAACTTTGTTCCCTTCAGAGGAGCAGCTTGCTCAGGATTCCCGTCCCCTGGTGTCAGGCGGCGGCTGCTCCAGTGTGGCACATCCCAGTGGGGTAGCACAGAGACCTCTTCTAGATCTGTCCTCAAAACAGGTCGAGGCTCCTCACCTGCCACCGCCGGTGTCACCACCCTGGCCAAGCCACTGCAGTGCTTTGCCCCGATGACAAGCACAGCTACTCACTGCGCCCCCCAATCCTGCCCTCCGTCCCCCCAGGTTAATTCCCCACCCAGCAGCCTTTGCTACCTTTTGAAAATGTAAACACGATTGTGTTGATTCCCTCCTTAAGGTTCTCCCTCTGCTTCCCGTTCCCCCGTTTCTCTAGCCCCTTACCCTACCGTGTTTCCCCGAAAATAAGACAGGGTCTTCTATTTATTTTTCCTCAAGAAGACACCCCAGGGCTTATTTTCAGGGGATGTGTTATTCTTTCTAAGTATGGCACAACCATCTACGTTTATTCAAATAGAGTGAAGCCGTCTTCTTCTGGAACATCATCCTCACTCTCCAGACCCCGAATCCCATCCTGAATGTCTTGTGACTCTGTTTCCTTTAGAACCGTCAGCCCCGATCTCTCCTGTCGAGCCACAGAGCTCTCACGGGGCGGATGGGAAGGGCTGCTCGTCTTCTTTCCTGCTCCACGACGACACGCACGGGTCGTGCAGACGCGCTGCGCAGCCACGCCCGTCGCCAGGGCTTATTTTCGGGGTGGGGCTTCTATGGCGCACATGCTCAGACATCCTGCCGGGGCTTATTTTAAGGGTAGGTCTTGTTTTCGGGGAAACACGGTACCCCCTCTCCTTCCCATCAGCGATTTCGGCCCATAATCACACTGTACCCTCAGCCATGCTACGTCATTATTTGCTCTGTCACCGGAAGGTGAGGTCTCTCAGGGAGGTCGCTTGCCCCCCTCCCTCCTGCGTCCCAGAGCCCAGCAGGCATGCTCATATTTACCGATGACACGCGGTCTCTTTAAGCCTCAGTTTCCCCAGCTGGCAAAAGGGGACAATGAATTCCGTGCATTTCGTCCCCTAGAGCTTTGGGGAGGATTAAACCAGAAAACGAGGTGAATCGCACCCCGCAGTCTGGGCTCCTCATTAGCACGGCTGCCCGGAGATTCCAGCTTTGCAAGATGCTTCTCCCGCCATTGCAGTCCACAGTTTAGGTCGAACTGCGGCATCTCCGCTAGAAACCATCGCCACGGCGCTTCTCCCGGTTGAGAGACCTGGGAGTCCACTGAAAATAAATTAGTGATGCCTTATTCTCGATGAAAAAAGTCCCGGGGAGATTTATAATTTTATTTTTTCCATGGAATAGCATTCATCGAAGGGAACAATAGTGCACCTTGCGTTGTGACTACCCCAACCCTCCTCAACCTATGCCGATGTTTATCTCATTTTCGTTTAACTTTATACACCGGAGTTTATTTGGAGAGCTGGTGGAACAGACAGGGATGTACAGGACACATCAGGTGCAGCCGAAATTACCCTGTCCCTCGCGGGGGGGGGGGGGGGGCTGGAGGCTGCAAGGGGAGTCCCGGTCCTGTTTCAGGGGGTAGGAGAGAAATGGTGCAGTTTGCTCCTTGCACCCCTTTGCTCCTTGCACCTGGGCTCTCCCCACGCATCTGCCTCTCCTTTGGGCCAGGTTCGAGGCGCTCCCGAGATTTTTGTCCACAGAAAGCTCGTGTGTCCCCCAAAGTATCGGCCGCTGTGGACAGCATCATTTTTGGAACCAGAAAAGAGTTCTCTTAGCATTGATTTTTTTTCCTACTCTCTCCATGGGGCTGTCTTCTCTGGGGGGGAGGGTGCCCAGTTGGCGCGGTCGTCTGGCCCCAGAGAACGCTAGCCCTGCCTCCCTGACCGTCCACATCAGAGCCCAAGATCCCCCGGGGCACTCAGTGAGGACCGATACATGAACGCATGCATGCATGAATGAATGAATGAATGAGTCGCCCTCTGTGTCCTCATTACTTCGGATGCTCTGCTGGCCTCCTGTCTTTTTTGGAGACTGTAAACACCAACCGACACACTGAGACCAAGACAGGACACCTGGTCCATCCCCGAAATTCCCCAAATGCATCTTACAGACGCTTGGTACCAAAAGGGACCGTGAGACCTTCTTATCCCGCCCTCACCTGTCCCATGGATGTCCCCCAGGACAGCTGGCCAGAGACTGGACCACCTGTGTTCAATACCGGAACGGGGTGTTGAACACCTGTTCAACAGGTATTGAACACCTGTTCGGGGCAGCCAGGCAACCTGTGAGCTGGAGTTAGTGTTTTTAAATGTGTATTTAAATATGTGGTTTTCCTCGTAGCGCTTAACCATGGTTTGAAACTGCAGACTCGAGCGACGATTTGATTAGAGTCTGCGTCCCCCACTAGACCCTAAGAATTGCCCACAAGTTCTGTAATTAAATGTTACGAGAAAGTCCTGTTTGTTCACCTGTATCTCCAGGGCTTAACACGTAGGAAGCGCTTGGTAAATATCTCTGAATGAAGGAGCAGCAAACAAACCGGGCTGGAGGGAATGTCCGTGACTTGCTACTATCAAGGCAGGAAGGAGGAGGACAGGTGAAAACGCCCAGTATGGAAGTCAGGTTACACCTGGCCGCCTGGTCCACTAGCAGCCCAGAAAGCCAGGAATGGGGTTTGGGGAGGCATTAGGAGCTGGCTGGATTTGGGGGCTAGGTGAAGATGCCAACAGTGGCATCTATTTCTGGTAGTTTCTGGCAAATGTTTCTGGTAGTTTCCTTGCTCTAGGCTTCCACTGGCCAACGCGTGTGTGGCCACTGAGCGCTGAAAACATGGCTGGTCTGAATTTGAGATATGTCGTGAGTGTCAAATATATACCAGATTTCAAAGGCTTCTATGGAAAAAAAACAATATCCAATATCTTATTAATAATTTTGCATTGATCACATAAAAAAATTGAAATGATAACATTTTAGACACGATCAGTTAAAGGACATGTAGTATTAAACTTAATTTCACCAGTTTCTTCTGCTTTTTTAAAATGTGGTTACAATATAGCATTTAGAGCTGCCTGGCTTGGGGGCTGGGCATGGAGGCTCACACCTGTAATCTCAGCGCTTTGGGAGGCCAAGCGGTGGGGACTTCCTGAGGTTAGGAGTTGGAAACCAACCTGGGCAGCAGAGTGAGACCCTCACCTCTATAAAAAAATGTTTTAAAAATTAGCCACTCGAGGTGGCACATGCCCGTAATCCTAGTTACTTGGGAGACTGAGGCAGGAGGATTGCTTGAGTCCAGGAGTTCGAGGCTACAGTGAGCGGAGATCATGCCACTACATCCCAGCCTGGGTGGCAGAGGGAGGCCTTATCTGGAAAGAAATAGAAAGAAAAAAAAAGAAAGGAAGAGAGGGAGAGAGGGAGGGAGGGAGGAAGGAAGGAAAAAAGGAAGGAAGGAAGGAAGAAGGAGGGAGGGAAGAAGGAAGGAAGGAAGGAAGGGAAGAAGGGAGGGGAAGGAAGGAAGGAGAGGAAGGAAGGAAGGAAGGAAGATATATATGATATATAAAAAAAGAATTGGAAAGGAAGGAAGGAAGGAAGGAAGGAAGGAAGGGAGGGAAAGAAAGAATTGTATGTCTTGCACTGTATTCTAGTGCTGTTCTAGAGGAGATCTAGATCTTGGGGGCAGTCATAAACTGGGGGACACCCTCGTATGAACACTCACCACCGCACATCAACAGCAGTACCTGAAGTCGTGTCTAGTCCATCCAGGCTTGCACGGTGCTAGGGATTTTACTTACTGCCTCCTCGCTTTACTTTGGGGCATCACTCTAAAGAAATAACCTGAAATATGGAAAAATCCCTCATACACAAAGCGACTAATTATGGCATCCTAGAATACGAATGAAAACCAGACGATTACCTAAACATCTAAACCATAGAAGAACGGTAAGATAAACTATGCTGGCGTGCATGCAACAAAATATTATGCAACCGTCCAGAGCTCCGTTTGCCAAAGATTCGTTACAACATGGCAAAGTGCTAGGACCACGCTCAATCAAAAACTCAAAATTCACAACTGTGTACATGGTGTCACCTAATTCCAGGGGGAAAGCTCGGAGGAGGGTGGCTGGGAGGAGTTCACAGTTGTTGTGGTTGGAGAATGAGATGACAAACCAGTTATCTTTTCTTCTTTCTATTTGTTCAGTTAGGTTTTATTTACTACGCATTTTTTTTTTTTTTTTGAGACAGGGTCTCACTCAGTTACCTGGGCTAGAGTGCCGTGGCATCAGCAATGCTCACAGCAACCTCAAACTCCTGGGCTCAAGCGATCCTCCTGCCTCAGCCTCCCGAGTAGCTGGGACTACAGGCATGCGCCCCATGCCCGGCTAATTTTTTCTATATATTTTTAGTTAGCTGACTGATTTATTTCTATTATTTTAGCAGAGACAGGGTCTCGCTCTTGCTCAGGCTGGTTTCGAACTCCTGACCTCGAGCGATCCTCCCGCCTCAGCCTCCCAGAGTGCTGGGATGACAGGCGTGAGCCGCCGCGCCCTACCCAGTTCTACCCCTTCTAATGGCCAGGATACCCATCGCGTGTTCCTTCACCTCCCAGACATTGCCTTCCTCATCTTCAACGTGGGGCAAGAACACCTACATTTTCTGAGTATTGTGAGGATTAAATGAGAGAAGATACCGGAACTTCTTGGTGTGAGGCCTGGCGTGAAGCATGAGCTGTCACTGCCATTGCTGTCATCGCTGGGGCTGCCTCGCGAGTGAAAATGCCCCCCGGCAGACCAGGACTTCTGGGGACACACGGCAGGGGGCCCTAAATCCTCCCTGCGCCCTCCCCCACGGGGGCTGCAGAGACTGCAGGGAAGGCCCCTACCCCCAGCCCACGCTGTGCCTGCAGGCACTCTGTGCACCCCGGCACACAGGAGCGGGCTGTTCACTGAGCAAGTGCAAGGATAAGAAGCAGCAGGAGATGAAGTGCATTTTGAGAAAATCACTTGTTTATTTAAATATCGCACTTATGAAAAATACCAGAATGAGAAAGAAACACGGGCATTTGTGGTAATCATCAAACAAGGGAGAGATGAAAAAAAAAAAAAAAACCAGAAATACATTATCTGAACATACAGGAAAAGGATCATCACAAGGCATTTGAAATTAAAAAAAAAAAAAAATCTGAACCTTTAAAATATCTGTGTTGTAGCCTCAGAACGCGTGTGCATCTCTTAAAAGCTCTTGGAAAAACACTTCCCCACTCCTCTCTCTCTCTCTCTCTTTGTGTCTTTTCTCTTATAAACGCGTCTTCTCTTTAAGTCCCTTTGGGAAACTTCTTATAAATGAGGATTTGGGTCTCAAGGGATTCCTCCGGTTAGGAAAGTGTTTTATTAAAAAATATATGTTTGCCACAGAATGCGGAGCGATATAATTAGCTGGTCCCTTCTGTTTTGTTTAAAAAGGCTGCACGGCCGGGTTCTAATTAAACACATTCTCAGGACGTTGGAAACGCGAAGGTGCCCAGCAGCGGGTACCGGAACGGGAAAAGCGGGAGCTCAGGGAAACGCACGCCCAGAAAGCCACATGTCTGGCCGCTGCCACTCCTGTGTCATAGAGCATGACTGCCGTGGACTGACACTCCTGTGCCCGGGGCCACCAGACCCTGGCGAGCCGCCCTGCGTTCTGGGCGGCCACGCACGGGAACGAGCTGATCTCGTTCCGCCCAGGGAGGGTGGGGCGGGGGGGAAAAGGGGGTGCCAGAAACTCGGAAAGAGCCCTGGGCCGGGGTTTCTGGGCACCTGGATATGCCACAGGTCATTGCCAACCAAGGTCACCCCCAGCCAGCCCACGCGGCATTCGGGTCGCGTGATCCGTTCGGATGTATCCGTTTGCCTCGCTCTTGCCGCAGAGCGTAAAGGTGCTCCAAAGGATCACGCTTCAGTTTCACTCTACCGACTCAGGGACAGAACACGGGGTTGTGCGGCCCCGCTAGCGATCGTGCTACGCGAGGCCAGGCTGGCTCGACCCCACGGAGGCGGTGCTGGGCCCTCCTTTGCACAAGGGGTACAGCGATGCTGACCCGGCTCCCCTTTGGAGAAGCACATGGCCCGGAAATTGGGGGTCTTCTGGTTCCCATTCGGAAGCATGCTCTGGGACCCCACACAGGAGTCAGGAGTGTGGACAGATGCCTGGCTTTGGAATCAAGGCGAGAGTGGCTCTGCAGAATGAGTCAGAAGAAGGACACCATCCTTCCTCCCAATGCTGTGGAATAATTTCTGTAGTAGGGGTGTGAGTTCACTTTTGTGTGTTTGGTAAAGACTCTGAGGTGTTAGCCATCTGGTCCGGGACTTTTCCCGTTTGGGGAGGTTGTTAATTACTGCTCCAATTTCTGCGCTCGAGATGGGTCTATTCAGGAATTCTGTTCCCTCCTGGGTGAACGTAGGGAGGGTGTATGAATCCAGGAGTTGGTCCATTTCTTCCCCGTTATGTAACCACAGTGTTAAAACAAAAACAAAAGCAAAAACAAACATTTATCGGGGTGTCGGGCAGGTGGGAGGAGGAAGGAGGGGATGGGTGTTTACATGCATAGTGAGTGCCGTGTGCACCGTCTTGGGGATGGACACGCTTGAGCTCTATTTCGAGGGGGAGGGGAGGCATGGGCCATGCACGTAACCTTAACGATTGCACCCCCATACTATGCTGAAATAATAATAATAATAATAAAAAGAATGAATAAAAGGACAAACACAGAAAAATAAAATAAAAGAGTTTAGAAAGACCCCCAGAGAATTCTCTCACCTGGGCCCCTCACTGGGCACCTTTGATCTTGACAAAGCACTTTCCTACCCATCCATTAGAACGTGGGAGCAAGCAGAACTCCGGTTCCCTGCCGGTGGGGACACAAGACGGTAACACCTACTTTGGCAGCTTCTGGCAGATGGAGGCATGCTTTCCCCATGTGACTCAGCCATCACACCCCTGGGTACGGAAACCCAGGGGAGGGGATGGAAACTTATGTTCCCACAGAGCCCGCTGTGCACGTAGATAGCGGCTTTGGCGATAATCGCTCCGCACTGGGAATAACCCCATTTGTGTCCTTCAACTGATGAAGGGACACACAGACGTTGGCACAGCCACGGAAAGGACTGCCTCCCCGCAGTGATCAGAGACAGACTCACTGGTGCACTCAGCCATGGGGCTAGACCCCAGACAGGTGCTATGTGCCAGGTGAAAGACACCAGACTCCGCAAAAAGGTGGCGTGCTATGTAGTTCCTCGTATGCTACATCCTGGAACAGGCAAAACGGCAGGAAGCCGCAGGGATGGAGACCAGAGCCGGTGGTTCCCTGGCTGCTGCTGGCGTGTTAACTCGGAAGTTAAAAGCAGGTGGACAGTTTGACTACCAAATGGCAGCACACAGGAGTTTGGGGGGGGGAGGGGGCGCGGGGGTCATGGAACCGTTCCAGATCTTGGTGGCAGCGGTAAGCTGCAATTGCTTTGTATATCTGACAAAACTCAGAGAACTGTGCAGCAAAAGAATGCATTTTACTCTGTGCAAAGTAAAAAGTAAATTAAACACACACACACACACACACACACACACACACACACACATACCTACAGGCTTGGTGGCGTTTGAGGCTGACCTCTCCTCCCCACGCATACTCATTTTATCCTGCTAGGGTGCCGAGTTAGCCACAGGGCAGGGTGGACCCTGAAAACTGAAGGGGTGACTTAGATCCCAGGGACCAACGACGAATTGTTCTATTATTCTCTTCCCTGTTGGGTTCGGACAAAGAAGGAACGAGTGGCACTCACCACTTGTGTGGCCCCCTGCAAACCAGGAGATAAAACACCTGGAGGACGAGATGTCCCTGGGCACAGAGGGAAGAGGGAGGACAGAGAAGACTGCTTTCCTGCTGATGTAACTAAGCCGGCACCCACCCCGGCCCCTCT